ATCATCCTTAGAGTACCACGATGAGAACACGCCTCTCCGCTGCTCTGTACCATATACTGGCTATCCATACGATCCAGAATTAAACACAAAATTTGTTCTCTGTGCTATGTTTCACTGACGGGCTCCAGTCCAACATACCTATCTGACCTCACCCATGAGTACCCACCTGCAAAATGCTTACGCTCCTCTTCTGACACTTGTTGTTGTTGTTTTTCTGGGGCTTAGAGTCATTTTTCAGCACACGATAGGCTATACATTGCGGCCAGTATTAATGGTGGAGGAAGAAACCGGGAAATCCGCGGAAATAACCACCAACCCACGAGAAGCTACTGGCAAGCTTTCTCACAAATCCACATTCGCCGAATCTTGAACTCGAAACCACGCATACAGAGGTAGAGATGACAATGATCGCTAACGGAGACCGCTTTAGACCACTCTGACACTCGTATTCTCAATATTCCCACTATGAAGTTGAAATTATATGTACAACGTTCTTTTGCATACTAAGGCCCAACAATGTGGACCGAATTGCCCACTGCACTTAGACACAAAGACACAGTAATCTCATTCAAGAGCGCCCTTAAAACCCATCTATTTCAACTGCAAGAACAGTCATAAAGACCTAACACTATCCTTTTAACATATCCTTACCATAAAAAGTTACCGCATATTTTTTTCTGTTTCTAATTTTTATGGTTTTTGTTTGCAATATTTTCATTATACGTTTTTATTCTTTGTAAGAATTGTCAAATATTGTAAAGCGCTTAGAGCTTCTAAAGATTAGGCGTTATATAAAGTCCTCGTTATTATTATTATTATTATTATTATTATTATTATTATTATTATTATTATTATTATTATTATTATTATTAGGTGAAGAAATTTGCCAATTTACGAAACTGGCCCCTGACACCTACAACAGCTTTTGTTAAATTAAGGGACATAATCCAAGGAGAAAACTATCAGAGGAGTTAAGCAAACAAAAATTAAATTGTTCTCCACCGGGTGGTCGATTAAGCAAAGTCGATCGCCTTCAGGGATCGCATATATCTCATCTCTGTCCGCATCGGTTTAGAGATTCGGTTCAGCTAACGTGGGTAGGTGAGAAAGCTAGTCAGAAGCTTACCGTGAATAGGTTGTTCTTTCCAAAGTTCTTCCTCTACTAAAATATACTGGCCGCTATGCATCGCATATCAAGTACTGAAAAATGGCTCTAACCCTATGTAATTCAAACAGAACCATCCAATTCATTTTTCATTTTTTCTTCACAGAAACATTCCAACGGAGATAATGTACTGGCTCGAGATAGAAATTCTCATTTATTGCAGTATAAACGTAAAATTGGGTCGTCAAGTCCTCAAGAATGGCTCATTGATAATCATTATTCCAACTCTTTATAATATTTCTCAAGTAAATGTACCTGTAAGCACGCCCACTGCTCGCGCTTTATATCCTAAGTCATTAGAGTGTAGCCTGTACCTGTCGCCTGATTGCCATTACGAGTCTTCTTTTAAAAAACGTGTCACGCTCCAGAGATTTCTTTTAAAAGGTTAAATCTTTGCATATGCTAATTAATCATCTATTTACCAAACCCCATTCATTCATTCTTGACACGACGCTCTGGGCGATTCTGGTTCAATTGTCACGCTGTTGAAACTTTCTATGAAGAATTTCCCAACCTGTGTACATATTTTATCCCTTTGTTAGTGTGTTCAATACATTTCCCACGTCTTGGCTATGGTATTATATGTATTAGCTCCCAGATGCTTCTGGCTCCGACACACAAGCTACCTGTCTCCTTCCAACTAGAATTTGCCAATAATTTTAGCACCTGTACATAGGACAGCGCTCACAGTGCCGGTGTAGCTTTGCGTTTCCATTAGCCACCACCACAGACTTTTGTCGGTCTGCTTGCTGTGCTACATGTCTCGTCAGGTGGGAAAGAACAGGTTTCGAGGACGACAATAGTAGCTTTGCTAACTTGAAGAACGGGTTCTACCGGCTCCGCTCCGATTATAGAATGAGTTTGGACGGGGACTCACGTTTGGAAAACACCAAAGGGTAAGATAGATCAGTGGTAGAATGACTTATTTTATTTATATCGTCATTTTACCGGAGTGTGATGCGTGGGCCTCTGTCACATGCACGTTAAATACATGGGATAATATGTCTAGTCACTGCGCTAAACTATACATGGAACTGTAAACATTATTTAAAGATAAATACGTGTATTCGTTGTTGGAATAATGCTGATTTTATATATTTTTATCAGTTCTGTATTTGGTGAGTATAGTCTACATATTCTTTAAAAAAGACAGACTTTTCTACTGAATGATATAATTTTATTCTTTGCGTCAGTACCATTGAAAGTGAGTTCCACGACTTGTATTCTTCGTTCCATTCTTGCAGTTGTGTTTGTGACCAAAAGCTGGCTTGTCATTTTAACTGCCAGGCAATTTAAACATTTGTTTGTTTAACAAGTCATTTATTTATTTAAATACTTTCTGGTGCTAATTGATTTTTCTTATGCTTTTGCCCATTTACTACAATACTTAAATAATTTGTTCACTTCAGTTTCTCGTTATCACCTTTTAATAGCAGTTTATTGCTACACTGTCTTTAGGTGACAAAGAAATATGAACGCTACCAACGATATTGCGTCTGTTGTATTTGTTGGTGTTAACATCATTTTTTTAACACCTTACTGGATCTATGCTAAGCATGTTGGCGTCATGCCGTGGGTATATGAACTATTCTCAAGTACATACCAAGTACAGCCTTTGAGGGTTTTGAAATTTACCACCTTTAGGATTATACGTTCTCTCAATCACATATGCAGTTAGCATATTTTCAACAGGAGTAATATCATCAATAACAACAGCAGTCTGAGTAGTGCCTTTGCAAATTTAAAAGTTACTTGTTCGATCCAGTGTGATCTCATGTCGACATTAAATGTTTGTTATTCATAAACATATCGTTTTTTACCCGTACAGATTAGGGTATAGAAATAGATATACAATTATGACTTTATGTATTATTTATTTGTTTTTATGCCAAGAAAATGCTAGAGGGATAATACATCTGAATTGCATGTAAAGTAACTGCTTGAAACTTTTTAAGGCAAATACATTGTTTGACTACAGTATTTTGTAAATGACAAGAGTTTGATCTTTTCATTTGTCAGTCGTAATCAGTCTGTTGACTGTCATTGCTTATGTCACCTTTTTAATATTGTTCCGCAAGTTTACGAAATACTTGGAGATGATTAGATAAAGACCTGGATTCATCAGGTTGCGGAAAACTTGATAACCTAACAGACTCCAGTCCTCGTTGGGTCATCGTGAGGTTTCATAGTCGTGCTGCACGACAATCACGTGCAGAGTTTCACGACCTGCGAATATATATCTGATTTTTATATTATAATCATATTAGTACGCTTGACGTTTGTGGACGTGTCAAAAAATATCTTTCTCTCTTGGAATTAAGTACGAGGATGTCCTTTGTTATGCTTGGTGGGGTGGCGTATTAGAGCTAAAACGTATGAACATGTCGTCTCCCCCCCCCCAAAAAATAGATTAAGATGTAAAACTATTTTTAACAATTGTGCATTAGCGCAATTTTTGAAGTGGATCTCTACCTTGATAATGATAAATGATACTGGCTCACTTCGTGAAGCATAAATGTGTCAACTGAATTACACCATATCTGACAATGTGACGGGTCTCATTGTCCTTCGTGGCAGGCGAAAATGATGGATGCAATGATGATTGTGTAGGGCACCAGCATTGGTGTGTAAGATATTTTTCTATTAACCCTAACGCAACATATTGTCTTAGCTGCTGTATAGAGTGGGACGTGTGACTATTTTGTTGGCGTTGTACGTCAGGACTACTTCGTTAGCCTTTTACGTTGTGACTACTTTTTAACGTCGTTGTCGGCTGCAGCTTCAGTGGTCTTGAATGTCAGTTTAAGGTGTACTTAAACGTAGTTTAATAGTTGATAGTGCTGACAATTGAGTAAAGATAATCAGTATTAACGGTAGTTGACTTGTTAGATGACATTGAACGTGTACCAGATGTACAGAAAATGCATAAATCTGATGTGAAATAATAGTAACTCTAAAGAAATGATACGAAATCTTAGAAATGTATAAACATTAATAATAATTTATAATAGAATTATATTGGTTCATTGTAAAAACTATATTGCTGCTGGTTGTTGATTAATGGATTTTGGTCATCCTGTGCTTTTTTTTTTCTTAATAATATGGAACCCATTTCGTATAAGTGATCATACTTTGAAACCGACTGAAGCTAACACAGTATTTTAACAATTGAAATTTAGGAGTTTTTGCCAATTTAGTTATTCGCTGTAATTGTATATTTTTTATATTGAATAATTTATTTGTGCGTTGCACATATTATTGTAATTTAGTCCCATGTCTACACAGTTTGGTCCTAGGGCTCGAATATCACTAAACCGCTCCGGTGGTCTAGTGGTTAGAGCGACTGCCACGGATGCTGGGAGTCGTGGGTTTGATCCCCGGTCGAGTCTTACCTAAGACTTACAAAAAATGGTACTAACAGCTGCCTCGTTTGGTGCTCAGCATTAAGAGGTTAGTGTTAGGACTGGTCGGCCTGAAGTCAGAATAATGTGACTGGATGGGACATCATGCTACATGCCTGCTGCATGATGCCCCAGTGGTAGACATCACTATAAACTGCCACACTGCAGATATCGTAGCGATATGACTGAAGCTTTGTTAAAGCTACGTTAAAAATCCAAATCACACACACACACACACACACACACATACATACACACACGCGCGAATATCACTGCGAATAAAGACATGCTGTCTGGCATTGATTTCACACACTTATTTGTGTTTTCAAAAAGATACAATAAGTTACTGACCGAACATTTACCAGGCATACAAAGGGACCGATTTTTCTAAGGTGTTCTGTCGTTAAAAGTCACCCACACATATCACCCCTGTTAGCTAGACTGCTTCACAAGCCAAAGTGGTTAGAATGCCGGCCTCGTATGTGGGAGACCGCAGGTTCGAACCACGGCCTAGTCATATCAAAGACTTATAAAAATGGTACTAGCAGCTGCCACTTGGCTCTTAGCATTAAAAGGTTAATGTTAGGGCTGGTCGGCCTGGTGTCAGGATAATGTAATCGGGTGGGACATGATGCTACATGTCTGTGACACTGGCTCACTGTCAGACCTCGTTTATTAACTGCCATACTGCAAACGTTGTAGCGATATGTCTGAAAAATTGCTAAAGCTAAGTTCAAAATCTCTCTCTCTCTCTCTCTCTCTCTCTCTCTCTCTCTCTCTCACACACACACACACACACACACACACTGGCTGAAGAACTCATTTTTTTACAGGTCACTCATACATCTCATCTCTACCCGCGCGAGTTCGAGTCTTGGCTGGGTATGTGGGAAAACTTGATATTAGCTTCACGTGAGTCGGTAGTTCTTTTCGCTGTGTTTATGGGTTCTTCCCACCATATATATTGGCTTATCACGTGCTGAGAAATTGCGTTAAACCCCACAACATGAAACCAACACACTTATAATTACGCCGTTTAATTGATCGATTTTACACCATGGAAACCACGCTGAAATGCAATACATGTATTTACTATCATATTATCGACACATTAATCTATTCCGAGAATGATTTGTTGTCACATTATAAATCAGAATCTTCGATTTTTCTTTGAGGTTTTATTGCAGGTGGCCATGGGTAGTAAACAATAAACATTTTTACATACAGTCTGTGAGCAGCATTGTTAAACCAGGTTTGTCAGTATGGATGTATGTTTTTTTTAGATGGCACTGATGCAATGAAGATCTACAGTCGCCAATAAAAGACATTGAGAAATAAGATGCGCTTTTATGCCAAAATACAACTTGTTTATTCGGAGCGATAGAAATAACGATGCACGCAAATGGGATTTTTCAATTAGTTTGCTCCATAGTAAGTAGTGTGTGAGAAGCTTGCCAGTAGCTTCTCGTGGGTCGGTAGTTCTTTCCGCTGATTTCCTGGTTTCTTCCTCCACCAACAATACTGGCCGCGATGAATAGCCTATTGTGTGCTGAAAAATGGCATTAAGCCCACAACAACAAAAACAACAACTAGTGTGCATTCTCATTTGTAAACAAGTGAAAATACGGTTCAGAATCGTAATAACTTCATGTAGTTAGCTGTCAAACATCAACTAGATGTTCTATACCTTAGAAGTGCCACATTAAACTGAACTGAAAGTGGTTATTTCACAGCAGATCTTAGAATCTGACTCTCATAAGAGACGTGATGTGTGATGGGATTTATTTTTTAACGTAGCTTTAAAAATTTCCCAGTGATATCGCTACGATATCTGCAGTTTATAGTAATGTCAAGCACTAGGGCATCATGCCGCAGACATGTAGCATGATGTCCCACCAAGTCACATTATCCTGACACAGGCCGACCAGTCCTTACACTAACCTGTTAACGCTGAGCTCCAAGCGAGGCAGTTGTTAGAACCATTTTTGTAAGTCTTTGGTATGACTCGACCGGGAATCGAACCCCCGACCTCAACTGATACAGATTGCAAGTCTCTCCAGAAAAGGATTTTACAAAAACGAATGAATCGGATGGAAAACTTTACATTGAGCATGGACATTAATTTGTTTGGTGTTTTCTTTGGCGCTTTTTCGTTTCATTGTTTTAGAATAGCAATTGTACTCTTTTTTTTCTTCTTTTTCTTTGTAAACTTTCGTTGAGTCCCACAGGTAAATTTGAATCCATCGCCATTGGGGATCTGGCTTCAGTGACTGCTTTGGGATTCGGCAAATATGGATACCAGAAGAAACATATATGATTCTCATGAAGAAAAAAAATCCGGTATATATTTACAACACAGAAGCAGCAGCATAGCTAAATGTTATTACAATTTGGATAAATGATTTGCTTATACAATTAACAAGTTTTATCGGTGTATATCACATGACTAGACTGACAGTTTAATAATTCAATGAATTTGTATATAACCCAAAATGGACGATTGATGTAGGTAAGCTCCAAAATCAATAATGAATTTATAATCTTCGAGTTCATTACAAAATGGACACAATATGTTCAATATGAGATGGATATCATACATTAAATCTACTACTGTTTGAATGCAGTTCTTATACTGAAATAAATTTTCAAAAGATTTGTTTTGTAGCCAAATTTTAAAATGCTCTTTATATCCAAAACAAATTACATATGACATAAATATTCGTCTATCGTCTATCTCTATAGGATTCGTCTATATTTGATTGTCATTTTTGAAGAAACTGATTATTTAATGTCGCTTTCACCTATTTGCGACGACCTGAAGAGTATGATCGTTATCAACTGAAAGGTTTTAACTTGCAGCTGATGCGACAAATAATTCTCTCTAGTGATCCTAAGGTCGTCTATCTCAGCTCTAACTTTACGCTTGCCTTGCTTTAGTTCTTTCACGTGTGTATGCCTTACTAATAACTCTTTCTAAACCCAATATTAGCAGAGTAAACAAAACGCAACCCAAACACGAATAAAAAAGAATTATGCCAATTTCACACATATGTATAGAAATATCCAGAGAATTCACTATATTAAGAAAGTAGGGATGGTCCGTTTTACAAAACTAATCTGTCATAAATCTTTTGAATAATGTACATTATAATGTCTATTCCTAGTAACTGGGTAATCGCTAGAGTGAGAAGTATCAACCCATAATCAACAAATAACCATTTAACTCTTAACAAAGCGATAAACTGAGATTTAAATACAAATAACACATACCCTAGGTTTTCTTAAAATACCTTTATATTGTCAACATCCTAGTTTATCAAATTACTAGGTAATTTTGTAACTGTATTATCAAAACGTCCCAATTTCTTTTCACGTTATTTCGTTCTAAATCAGACATAACTGATGATGTTGTTATTGTATGATTTGACGCCATTTTTCAGCATAAGATAGAATACACATAGCATCCAGTATAAATGGTGGAGGAAGAACCTGGGAAAACCCCGGAAGGAACCACCGACCCATGAGAATCTACTTGCAAGCTTTTTCTTACATGTCCACATTGGCCGATCCCGAAACTCGAACCCACGCAGACATATATCAGATGGCAGTGGTCCGTAACGGTGAGCGCGAAGTCAACAACAGCGAGGAAATGTTTTCTTTTAAAAGGGCCTTACAAATGTTTAAATACATGGAGGGCCTCAGATGCATAAATGGTCGAAATGCTCGCCTTTACTGTCGTCTTATCTCTGTCCGTGTGGGTTCGAGTCTTGGGCTCAGCCAATGTGTGAAAGTTGCCAGTAGCTTCCCATGGGTCGGTGGCTCTTACCGGGGATTTTTTCCCGAATTCTTCATCCACCAATTATACTGGCCGCCATATATTGCCTTCCCTGCGAACTGGCGTTAAACCCAAATCAACACAGATAAACATCTTCTATGGAGTGAATGTTTGCTACACAGGTCAAAGTAAGGGAATACGCCATAAGAATACACTAACGTATTTACCTTGAAAAATCCTCAGTGTGTGTATGTGTGTGTGTGTGTGTGTGTGTGTGTGTGTGTGTGTGTGTGTGTGAAGGTTCGCGGAGACGTACAATCTCAAAAGCATTGTATAACTAGTACAGTCTTAACGATCACTTAACACCAACAAAGAAAACATATATTTATTGTTCTGATTGTTTGTTAATTTGCATTCTCCATTAGTATTTATTTACCAGTAAAAGTGTGTGATAGTGGTAAACGAAAATATCATTGACGCATTTATAATTGTTTCTTGTCTACACGGTTCAATGAAGAGTTTGGCTTTTTGTAAATGGAAGAAAGAACATGAGAAAGAAGGAAATTGACAATAATATTTTCATTATAAGTAATATACTTCTTGAATCGGGCACAAAACAGTGAAGTGTTTTATTATATCTATTGAGGGTAGCAAGAAGTATTTTCATCACCAAATCATGTTCTTTTTCTCCGTCATTAATAAGAACAGATACCTTATATTTTGTATATGTATAAATTTATTTTTAACTACGACAATATATCTTGTAAATTATGCAATGAAGTAATGGCTCTGAAATGTATATTTGTATGAATTATTCGATCCACGTGATAAGAATTGTGCGACGGCTGCTATTTCTTGCTCTATATAAACATTTACATTTAAAACTCAATATCCATCAAAATATAATTGTATCTGGAAATTTTAATTTCTACTAAACGTTTTACTTTGGTTCTATATTATGTCCGCCTGTAGATACAAGTAAATTATTTTTGTAACAAAAGGCGTCGATTTGTTGAGGTATTTTCATAACGTTGCTTATTATCTGTGTTCATCTAGATGAACTTGTTGACTGGTTATGCGCTGTTATATAAATAGAAAGTTGGTAGTAATTCATCAAAATCGCGCCACCATAACGATTGTACAAATGACAACTTGGATTATCCAAAAAATTGATAAGTTGAATAATTAGTATGATAAATTTGTTCTTCTTTAGTCAGGTCTACCGTTGGTACATGTTAGAAAAGATGCACATGTATGCTTAAATAATAATTTTAACATTGCCCATTACAACGTGCTGTACTAGCTTAAAAGTTCTTATGTAAGTAACTGACGGCTTTATGTGCCATTTATCTTACTGTATGTTAGGTACATGTTGGACAAAAGTTAGGAAACATAGATTTTAATAGAAATAATGGTTTACTAAAATCAAGGGAGCTAGCATCTAATTGTTTAATTGGCAAAATAATTCCGGACTTTAGATTGATAATAATGCCCATGCGTCCGTCGCTCGTCACCAGTGAGGTTAAAATTTGCACTTAGTCCTTGTCTCAGACACTTGTTATGTAATAGCTTCACTAGCAATAGTCATAACCGGAAGCCAGGTCACTAAGACAAATATTTTATGATTCATTGAGTTGTGGTTATTGAGGCCCATGTTTGCTAGCTTATGCTTTGTGATTTTTACTATTGCTTTTCGAGTAAAATTGAGGTGTGGTGTGGTGTTTATAATTTTTAACGTAGCTTTAATTTTTTTTCTCAGTCTTATTGCTACGATGTCTGCAGTGTGGCAGTTTATAGTGATGTCTAGCACTGGGACATCATGCCGCAGGCATGTAGCATGATGTCCCACCCAGTCACATTATCCTGACACCAAGTCGATTAGTCCTAACACTCACCTCTTAATGCTGAGCGTCAAGCAAGGCAGCTGTTAGTACCATTTTTGTAAGTCTTAGGTATGACTCGACGGTATATCGAACCCACGACCTCCCGCATATGATGCGGATGCTCTAACCACTAGGCCACCAGAGATTTTGTTGTTGTTGTAGAGTTTAAGTCCGTTTTTCAGCACAAGATAGGCTATACATGGTGTCGAGTATAAATATAGGAGGAAAAATTTGGGAAATTCCAGGAAAGAGCCACCGACCCACAAGAAGCTATTTATCTGAATTTGAGACTGTAATCCACGCAGACAGAGGTGAGATGACAATGGCCCGTAACGGTGAGTGCTTTAGACCACTCGGCCACTCAGGGCCTCTGAAACTGAAATAAGTCATCACCAGGAGAACTATATCCTTCAGTCAAAATTGGGCTGCTGAACTTTATCAACCTTTGCTTTTATCTGAGTTTCTTAGACACCATTGCCTACAGAGTCATTAAAAGTACTACATCCTTTTGTCACTGGAATCTAGACTTTTATATTTCTTGACGTAGTAGCCCACATTAACCTATCCAGTTAAATTTCTCTTCGTTTGTATTCTTCCATACTGGAGCTACAACTGTTCGATTCAGTAGGTCGTTAAAATCTTGGCTAATTCAATCAATGGCCTTCACGCGGAAACTAAATCCACCTTGACCTCTTGACCACCCGACCTGGAGATTATAAAACTCGTGAATTTAAGTTTGAGATTGAGTTTTCACTATTAGCCAATCAAGAACGGACATTCAGAAGTAAAGTTAGTTTTGACTGGTCCAAACAAAATTCAAGCTTAAAATTTGCAGTTTCCAAACCTGAAACAGGCTCTCGCGCATCTTCAATGCGCTGGTCAAGCTGTTTCGATTCTCTGCTTGACGACATGACTGCAGCCTTAACTGTGCAAGGCGTGTTTGAAAGTTTGAGAACTATGCTTAAAATCTGCAGTTTTTCAAAACTGATATGCACGCTTTGAGAATGTCATTTCCCTTATTCTGTATGGATCTCTGAATATTTATGGTGAGACATTTTGACGTTAAAATCTAGAAATTAATAAACAAGGTTAATTAAATCTTCGTCTACCGTTTTCATGTAATTTTACAGACGGGTGTGTCATCCGAGCTGCTATAAAAATAATATCTGCAGCCTTGACCTTTGTGGTAATTTGAGCCATACGATTTGGAATAGGTTCTTCCATGACTTTCCAGGCTATACACAGACGCACCAAGTCTTCCAATCATTTCATACATCAATCGATTCATTGGCACTAATAGAAAGCTATGGAACAGAATCACATAACGAAACATAGCTTTCACCTGATTGTCATGAACAAATAAAAGGGAACTGTACGTGTATGGACTTTTGAATTGTCAATATGTTTGTCCGTTGAAAGTAGAAAAACCTATTCTAAACAAGCTAGGTCTTTTTGTGCGATAATGTGTACCAGATGTGATCATCTTATTAGAAAGAGGCATCCGAATTTGTCTTCGGCTATTGTAATAACTACAGTCCAAACCTGACTTGCATTAAGATCTAGCATTCGACTATTGTAATAACTACAGTCCAAACCTGACTTGCTTTAAGATCTAGCATTCGACTATTGTAATAACTACAGTCCACGCCTGACTTGCTTTAAGATCTAGCATTCGGCTATTGTAATAACTACAGTCCACGCCTGACATGCTTTAAGATCTAGCATGACTTTTAGTTTGATTTAGATAAAATGTGCAAAAAAAATAATTGTAGTAACACACACACACACACACACACACACACACACACACACACACACACACACACACATATATATATATATATATATATATATATATATATATATATATATATATATATATATATATATATATATATATATATATATATATATATATATATATAAAGAATACAAATCATATGGCGAATAACAACCCTCTCAAGCGTACTGGATCCACCAAGGGATCACGTTTGTCAGGGATTAATTAAAATAGATGCAATAAACTGACGACGAACAGTACGAAACTAGTAACTAACTAGCCTAAGCGCTTTCGACTCTTAATGAGTCTTTTTCAAAGGCAAATACAAAACATAGTTACGACAAACAAATAAACACAAAAACGTTGTGTTTGTAAACCTCTACATTTCTATCTTCACATGTGCTAAAACTATAAATAAAACCAGCTTGTATAGACTAGTTGCGGAAACTGAAAACCAGGTTTTCAGTTTCCGCAACTAGTCTATACAAGCTGGTTGTATTTATAGTTTTAGCACATGTGAAGATAGAAATGTAGAGGTTTACAAACGCAACGTTTTTGTGTTTATTTGTTTGTCGTAACTATGTTTTGTATTTGCCTTTGAAAAAGACTCATTAAGAGTCGAAAGCGCTTAGGCTAGTTAGTTACTAGTTTCGTACTGTTCGTCGTCAGTTTATTGCATCTATCTATCTATCTATATATATCTATATATCTATATATATATATATATATATATATATATATATATATATATATATATATATATATATATATATATATATATATATATTCTTTATTTTACTGCAAGCAAAGCAATGTGTACTTTTGAAACAAAGTCTTGATTGGATGATAATGTGGAAAAGACCAGAAAAGATTTGTATAAAAGGCAAAGTAGATGAAATAGTTTTAGAAGAAAAATATGAGAATTAGAGGGCAGTACAGTGGATAATTGTTGTCTGGAAATATTCCTTTTTATTGTTCTGTTACTAGATTTTTGTGTAGTACACTATTTCATGACCTTTTGTTATCCTGGTTGCTTTTCTCTATTAGGCAAATAGGATTTTAAAATAATCCTTTCTATACTATAATTCAAGATTAATTTGATAAAGGAATCTGTTGGGCAACATCTCACAAGGCCAAAAAAAAGGCAGAATCAGAGGCTAGCGGTTTTTTTTTTGAAAAAAGGTTTTGTTGGGTTTTTTTTGCAGCTTAATTCATTAATATTTCATTTAAAAGACAGAATGTGCGGTTTTATTATTGATGTCAGTTTATCATTAATGTTGAACTGAAAATATCGTTCTTTTTTTTTTAGAGTTAGCCCTTTTTACAAATCTCATAAATGTCTTCTAGTACAAACTTTGAATCGCGTAAATCATCCCATGCCAATTAATGTGCTGATCTACTCTTCGCGATGCCATTATTTCTGACAAGACTTTATTATTTATGTGATTACTTGTTTACCTTATGATTGGTGGCTCTTTTATCATAAAGTCATGTCACCAGTTTGTCACTGTTTATCAGTCAAGTCTAATTTGTCGGCCATTTATAATGTTTTAATATTATATTTAATTATACCGTTTGTAAACGGACATATCGCAATTTTTATTTGATAACCTGTTTCATTGATGCTTGTTTCTTGTACATGACAATTCAAGGGTCCTTAATACAGCGGGGGAGGGGACTATGTTTTAAATGTGCTTAAAGTTTATGCTTATTACAGCATGTGTTCGGGACACGTGACTTCAGGTAAGCATAACTGTACATTCCAATTGTTTATTCTGGCGACAGTTAATTCAATATTTTTATCTATTTCTAATTACAATAACATGATCTAAGTACTCTTTGTAATTTAAAAGTCTTTAATTTCTAGTGTGCTTATTTATGTATTGAGACCAATGTACATAGTTAATGTCTAAAACGGGCATATAAACCTTAACAAAATATGTCAATACTCGACATACCTGATCTGAACAAAGGAAGTTGAGATACATGCAAGTACTGTGTAACAAAGGAAGGTACAAAATTATAATAGGGTATTTTGTGTTTCTTAATATTTGTTTTCGGTGTTCAATATGACAGAGCATTACCAGATCAATAACGCTCAATCGATTGCATGTTTTCCGAATAGGCCAACTAGTATTCGCTACAGAAACTATTTTGATGAGAATGTATTCATTGGACTGTTAACAACTTCGTGTTATGTTGAAGTTATTACGTTACCATTAGCGCAAAAATTAGGCACACATTCAACTCTGAAATAAACTGAAGCTCAAGATGAACTCCCTTAACACGTGTGTGTGTGTGTGTGTGTGTGTGTGTGTGTGTGTGTGTGTGTGTGTGTGTGTGTTAAACCTTGATTTTCTGGCTCAAACGGTTGTGGTAATACAGTTGCAGCTTGTAATATTACAGTCCCAGGTTGTGATAATTAATCCCAGATTCTGATAATACTATGCCAGGTCTGAAAATTGTGTAAAGAAGAAAAAGACAAAAAATAGATCTTCATGTAGATTGGTTAGCTGCTCATGTTAGTCCTTGTATAACTAGTCAGTTATATCAGTCCCGTTCAAATGATTAAATTCTGTTTTTATTGTAGTTATTTTAAGAATTAAACAAAATCTTCCAATGTTAAGTGACGAAGAACAAAGAAACCTGGAAACCAGGAAACCAGCCTAAGCTATAGTTTCTCTATCTTTCAATTTATGCGTTCAAAAAGATAGAGGCATTGGTTGTTAATTTACAAAAATGAAAATGAAACAAATATGATATTAACCAAAAAACAGTCGATAGCATATATACGCATTTCCTAGACTGCATTTTTGTACGTCTCCACCATGAATATGGCAAGAACATGTAGCGTTATGCTTGCTCTTTTGCTGCTAACCTGCTTACTTATTACTTACGTCTCTATACTCGTGTGTAAGGTAACCATTCCTGCATTTGAATATAGCTTTGATTTAACCTGTTCTAGTGTACATTATTGACCTTACGTGAACGTGAGCATCCTTTTCTGTAACATGTATATATTGTGCATGTTCATTCCCTTGTTCATAAATGCACGAATACCTTCTGCCAAACCACTCCGGTGGACTAGTGGTTAGAGCGCCCTCCTTAAATGCCGGTGATCCTGGGTTAAATCCCCGGCCGAGTCAAACCAAAGGCTTATAAAAATGTACTAGCAGCTACCTTGCTAGGTGCTCCGTTTTGAAAGATTAGTGTTATGACTGGTCGGCCTGGTGTCAGGATAATTTGACTGGCTGAACAATTGACCTTTTTTTTAACTGGCTAAACAATTGACCTTACGTGAGAGGATAGATCGCTCCTCCTACCAAATCGCGTGGCATGATGCCCTCCGAAAAAACATGAAGTATTTTGCTAAGAAATATGTTTCGGCTTAAGTGATATATTAATTGAAAATTATTCATATTATTCTTAACAATGTAAATTTTTAAAGTTGCAAAAATAATAATGCAGTAGACAATATTTATATTTGTAGCTCAAGTTCGTATTGTAATATATATATATTTTTTTCCTGAACTCTTTGATGTACTAGGAAATTCTCTCTAGAACATGCTAATGTGTTTAGTATATAACCTTATCCTTATTAATTTTATATGGCTTATGTTCACGCTGCGTTGGAAGTAAATGAATTAAAAATTAGAAACAAAGTCGTAAATAATTACTGTTTAGAAATATACTGTTGTACATACTAATTTTAAATTTCTACTATGAAGTATATTGTTGTAGATAAGTTTTACTATGTTCTTCCTAAAGATTTTCGATCAGTGATATATGTTGATGTAAACATTTAAATTTATTTTTAATATATCGGTAGATAATTATCTAAAGCCATTGTTATTTTTATTTATTTTTACATCCAGTCCAATGAGAAAGTAAAGAGTCACTCAAGTGTCTGAAAGATCGAGACGATAATTCATTACTGTTTGAACAAGCCAACATTAAAGTGTAAATTTTCAAACTTTAAAATATAGGTTTGGTTCATATGGGTTCAGTATTTCCCATACAAGGAAAAATACTATACATCAAAATCCAAAAGTTGGAGTATTCTCTACCCATATTCTAGACATTTTTATTTTTACATACTTTGCATTTTTCACTTTTTTTTGTGGGGAGTAGGGCTTCAAGCCATCGACGGGACATGCATTTCTACATACTTTTATACAGACAAACATGTTATAATTTCCATCATTTGATTCCATATTCAGACAATCACTCACGGGACCACAAAAACCGTCTTTATCCATCAAGTTTTGTCTATGTTTCGGGAACAGTATAAATGAAATTCCCCTATTTAGTCAATTTGGATATTTACAGAATTACAAGGCTTCTACTGCCTTCGTTTCACCATCATTGATCGAGAAATCAACAAGATGCACACATTTCAATTAATTATCATAATCAGTTCTTTATTGTCACAAGCAGCTTGTCGGAGGAAAATGGCGGAAAAGTATTTCTCCAAGTTTCAAAAAAAGGGGGGGGGGATAGTAATTATCCTCTGAAAGTGAAACCATAAAACTATAAACAACACGTGCTTTATAAAACTCAGCAGTTGCTTCATTCTCCAATATTTTTTTTGTTTTTTTTGTTTTGAGGGGGAGGTGGGGTGTACAAGTTTGAAACCTCCGTCTGACCATTCGCGTCGGAATTGTTTTTTTTTTTTTGCTGCTGCTGCTTATTATTAATTTTATTATTATTATTATTATTATTATTATTATTATTATTATTATTATTATTATTATTATTAAATAAGAAAATCTTCGAAATATAGTGGTTGATTCGTAAAATTTTAAAAATCCAATGTTTCTTATGTAGTGCATCTGTTGCAAAGAAAATTCACGTTTAAGTTCCTACGAACAAAATCGGCATTCTGCAGTTGAACAAAGGGCACAGTTTTGGAAAGACGCCTGGCACAAATTTGCAACTTTGGAATAAAGCATATGGATACTAAATCGAATGTATATCGACAATTGCAGTTTTGACTTACTTCCGCTATTTACGAAGCCAGGATTGATCTAATTACTTGCATTCGTAACCCATAGCCCTACGGTCAATCCGATTGTAGAAATCGCTGAAGTGATCCAAATAGATCGTTTTCATTTTGTGGAGAAATTTTCGGCGGAAAAAAATATGATTTTTATGTAAACTGCTACGTCGACATACATTCAATGTGTAATTTTGTTTCATAAATAACCGAGGTTATTCCGAATGGCCTAGCACCATGTAAAAAGAAAAACTGATAAAAAAAGGACATGGGGTTGGGGGTGAGCAAACAAAAGTCTATCGCAGCGCCATTCTAAAATGGCTGGACCAGGGTTGTGGGCTGCAATGTTAATCAGGTTAGACAGAGATTTGTAGCTCGTGGCGACATTCTTGTTCACTTTTGTTTTGCACAAATCTAATGGACTGATTTATTTGATACAACTTTGCTACAGGCTTTCTTTTACAAATTTATATCTGGTATTAGCGTGCAACACTCACCAAGGCATAGCACTGCACCAAACAGGATGTTTATGATACGTATCAAAATACTGAAAGTAAAAGGGGCTATCGAGCTTGTTACAGAATGAATAATCTAGAGAGACAATTATTCACAAATATTATGATTAAAACTATATAAAGAGGGCTTGGAAATTAATTAAATATTTTAACAAAAATGTTGAATGTTGACAACGCAGGTGCCGCCGTCTGAAAAGTGATCTCGCTTCCCTCAATCATAGGCTTGAAAACAAATTGAGTGAATACTTACTAGTAAAAATAAGCTTAAAGTGATTTACTTTTGTTACTATTTGTAGAACTCACCTAGATGAATGTAAACAAAAATATATTACTCGGGAACTAACATTACGAGAGGAAAAACGGACATTAACACACACACACACACACACACACACACACACACACACAACAACAACAACAACAACAACAACAACAGTAAAACTAAATCAAAATGATTCCAGATATAAAATTTATGACAGTAAATAAATAAATGAAATATAAACATAATAAAAGTCACGGGAGACCTTGCTTACGAAAGTATTTAAGGGTGTCAGTCTTTTTTTTTTTCTCCATAGCACGGTTCAGATAGTCATACCATAACATCAATACAAAATGTATGTAATGGAATTAACGTCTCTCAGAATAAAAAAGGTGCAAGGATAAATACCAAATGTTAACTTAAGACAATTTCTTCCCTACTTATAGGAATTTATCTACATAGGAGTGGAACTATTAACAGACGCTGTGTTAAGGGAAAAGCTTAAAAGTCTGTCATATGAAATGGAACTTTTTTTTACACAAAAAATTTGATTCAAGGCGTTAAATTATAATATTTGGACATCATTGAAATTTCAACCATTAAAATTACAAAATTAAATTTTCAACCACGCTGTGTAATTCAGCAAACAGTTTGAAAACGCGATGTATAAAATGAAACTTCATGAGCAAACGCTTTGATTCAGTGTGTGAAACTGGATTCTCAACAATTTTGAAATTTCAACCACGGTTGTAATTTGACCGATAAACTCGACACAGAAAAATGGAACTTTCAGCCACAATTATTTTAATACGACAGAACGTTTAAAACTCTAAATATGAAATTGGAACTTTCAAATTTCAGACTTCTCACGACTGAAATTCTCGACAAATAATGTTGAATTTTTCTAGCGCAACATTCTTTTTTAACCAGCTTTATCCTCTACCGCGCCTCATACGTGCCCACGATATTTAAATTGTACATAATTTTTGCGATCGCGGGAATTCTCTATTCTCTTTAATGTTTGTGCTACTTTGAAGAAAATTATGAACGTAAAAGCTTTACTTTGAGCTGCGTGTATATACATCTGATAAAATCATCTCGTCTCGCTTCATTTAAAAGCTCCGCCGTAGAGCAAGGCGATTAGGGTCGATATTTTACTGACAAACGCCTTTAACCCCGTGGGAATGTGCTGTTTATACTCATTTCCCCTATCTTTATGTACCTCGAATGGCTGCTCAAGCGAAAGAGTGTCGTGTGATAAAATCCATTTCTAAACATATTTTCGCTTGGCTGGCTCCAAGCACTCTAGAAACTAATTATCAGGTAAATAACAAGCTTTCAAAGTTCGAGCTCGGTTTTGTGGAAAAGATTTGGTGCGCCCTCGTACATGTTGTAATGTCTAGTAGGGCGATAAATCTGTCCTAGCATGCATCTTGTGATTATTTTCACCTAGAGATGATCTTGGACTTCTAGTTGGTGTTGTGCAAAATAAAAACTTGAACTGAATCTTTTGGATCTGACCCCGATATTTTTTCTTTGCTTTTGTGATACAAACTTACTGAGCTCTACATAGCCAAGATTGTCTGATGTGCCTTTCAACACTTTATAGTTTACTTAAATCAAGATTTGAAAACAAAGTCTTAGCCCTTCGCTATATCCGTAAAAAAGGAAAGTACATTGACACTGTATTCATTACCGATTTAAAGCAACAATCTGACATATCCCGAACACGGAAAATAAATTGTTAATGTTGGACGCACCAGAAACAAAATCGACACTGCTCACAACGTGATATGCATTAGCCATTTTATGTAATATCGCATGCTGCCAATTTTTACATTACTACCAATTGTTAAAGATGCAAGATACATCAATTTCTATTTAAATAATTGGCCAGACAACTGACCAAACTACCTATCAATCATACACCTATTTGATACGACCCACTGAGTAAGGACTGGTCGTCCTGGTGTCAGGATAATGTAACTGGGTGAGACATCATGCTACACGTCTGTGGCATGATGCCCCAGTGCTAGACGTCACTATAAACTGCCACACTGCTGATATCGTAACGATACGACTGAAAAATTGTTAAAGCTACGTTAAAAAACATAATCACATCAAACCACATTTGAGCATTTTGTATCTGATAGAAATCTAAAGACTATTGATGTTTGTATCATAGATCCCATCTTTCCATATAGGTCAAGATTCCGAATACTGGATGTAGCATGTATTCCCGCTTTATGTCTGCAATGAAACTGTGATCTTGTCGATAAATTGTGAGTCTTAAGAGTATACCCTTTGTTACAAGCTTGTAATAATACCCTGTGTTACAAGCTTTGGATAATACTGTTTGTTACAACGTTGAAATTA